CTTGGAAAGCTTTCAAAACATCTCTCCAGAAATTATTTTGTACATTCTCTTGTAAATGTGACAAATATTCTGATCCTGTATTTAAAAGTTTATCAATCAACACTATTTTCCAATAATTTTTTCCACTTTGAGTTATTGTTATATATTATTTTTCTATCCATGTAGATTTTAAAGCTGTTATGTAGGACACAATATTAACCATTTTTAATCCTCTCTGTGCATACTTTTGTGTTACAACTTTTCTTTTTATTTTGTCTACATTTGATTTCCATAAAAAGTTAAAGATTAATTTGTTTAGATCTTTTATAACACTCACAGGTGGGTTTGGTAAAGTAATAAATAAATGATTAAGCTGTGATATAAGTAATGATTTAATCAATGTGATTCTTCCAATAGGAGTTAAGTTTCTCTTTTTCCATTGCTCTATGATGGTCTTAATTTTGACCAGTTTCTTGTCATAGTTTAGTTTTGTAATTTTTGCTAAGTCAACATCATAATAAATGCCTAAAAGTTTAAAGTTTGTTGTCCATTGAAATTTTAGCTCAGGACAGAGTCTATCCTCAGAATACTTCTTACTTCCAATCCACACAATTTGGGGTTTTGACTGATTGATTTTGAGACCTAACTTTTTATAAAATTTGTCTAATACTAGCATTGTAGCCTTTAGTGATTTTTCAGAGCCGTCAAGAATTATCATTGTGTCATCTGCATATTGTGACATTAAATACTCTGTATCATTAATCTTAATTCCTTTGATATTCTCATTATTTCTTATTTTAATAGACAGTATCTCAGCACATAAGAGAAATATATAAGGAGAAATTGGGTCACCCTGTCTACAGCCCCGTCCTAACTTGAAGAAGTTAGATAAAATTCCTGCTTGCGACACACAAGAAACTATATTATTTTGGAAAATTTTATCCAATTACAAAAACTTGGTCCAAAGTTAAAACATTCCAATGTTTCTTGAATAAATGTCCATGACACAGAGTTGAAGGCTTTCTCGAAATCTATCATGACTGATGTTCCAGGAATATCATGCAATTCTGTGTAGTGCATTAGATCGTATACAAGACGCGTATTCTCTCCGATGTATCTCCCAGGTATAAAACCTGTTTGATCTGAACTAACTATTTTGGTTAAAACTTGTTTTAATCTGTTTGCTATACATCCTGATCCAATTTTATAAATAATGTTTAGCAGTGATATTGGTCTCCAATTGCTGAGATGAAATTTACTTTTTCCTTCTTTTGGTATGCAAGTAATTATTCCTTGCCTTTGTGTAGAAGAAAATTCGCCTATTTCATAGCCATAATTCAAAGAGCGTACTACAAAATGACCCAAATTTCTCCAAAATACTTTAAAAAATTCTGCTGTGAAGACATCACTACCTGGACTTTTGTTATTAGACATTGTCTTTAGTACTGATAAGGCTTCACTATATGAAATAACACCTTCCAACTGCAAACGTTCAGTATCATCTAATTTTGGGACATTACATTCTTCAAGGGATTCTTTAAGATTCAAATCAACATACTCTAATACTTGAACTGAGTATAATGATTTGTAAAATTTTTCAACTTCTTCTAGAATTTCAGATTGCTTTGTTATTTCCCTTTCCACATTATTTTCACTTTTAATAATTTTTGGTATTATCTTATTTGTAAAATGTCTATTTTCAAGATTTGAAAAATAACTTGTTGGTTTTTCCCCTTCACTAGTCCATTTTGCCCTTGACCTTATCATATTCCCAATGAGCTTGTGTTGCCTTATTGATTCTAATGCTTTTTTCTTTTCAGCAATACTAGTTACATTGTTGTCATAATTTTTTTTCCAGTTCAGTAATTTCCTCAATAAGGTCTTTCTCATTTTTTACCCTTTCCTTTTTGAGATAACTTGCATATGAAATTGTTTTTGCCCTTATCTCCATTAGGAGTGTCTCTAAAAATAATTGATTATTTATAGTAAATTGTATTTCAGAATAGGATATTTCCTTAATGCTGGCTTCCTTGTAAACCAGCAATGCATATTGTGTTTTAACATGATCAATAACATCATTTATGATTTCAATATACTTTGGGTCTTTTAAAAGAGAACTATTGAATTTCCATAAACCTTTCCCATGTAAGAAATCATTAAACTTAAGGGTCAGTAAAATTGGTGAATGGTCTGATCTATAACTTCCAAGAATATCACAATTTTGTATATCAGTCAACAATGAGTTGGATACAAGAGCAAAGTCTAAGCGTGCTTGTATCAAAGGGTTTGGTTTCCTCCAAGTAAAACTTTTTGCTTCTGGGTGGAACTCTCTATAAATATCTATTAAATTATTACTATCTATTTGTTCAAGAAATTTCTTTCTGGCTTTAGGGTTATTAATATGTAAGTAATTGAAATAATCTTTGTATGGGTCTAATGCTAAATTAAAATCACCAACAATAATAACTCTATTGTCAAATTTGGTTATTAACTCTGACAAATTCTCATAGAATTCTGGAGAATCTTCATTTGGTCCATATATGCATATCAGACTTATTTTCCTATTTTCAACTGTTAAGTTCAATGCAAGAAAATTGCCAGAATCATCTAAGATTTGATCATGGACTACAAAGTCAAAATTATTGTTAAATAAAATGGCTATTCCTCTAGCTTTCGAAGTGTATGAGCTAAAACGAGCTTCATAACCCCATTCATTTCTTATATTTTGTTCCATTTCATCAGTAAAATGTGTATCACTCAAGCATAGAATATTACCCTCTGTTGTCGGAAGTACTGAAAAACATCTTTTCTTTTTTTCGTATCGTTCAACCCCTGGCAGTTAGTAGATATTATTTTAATTTCTGACATATTTCATTTAAAAAAAAAAAATTGATTTAAAAGGCAATTTTTCCCTTGTGTTGACAATATACACCCCTCATCATCCGCGAGTAGATTGTTGGTTAGAAAGTACAAAGAGATAGAATAAGAAAGGAATAGAAGAAGACAGAAAAAGAAGTTGTTATTATGAGTCATGTTCATTGTTAAATTTGGTCAAAAAAGAGTGAAAATTGTTTAGATAAAGCAAGATAAACATACATGTTACACGATGTATACAAAATTTATGTCACCGGATATCAACATACACATAGTAAATCGAAGAACCGTAATGTAATACGTTTTAATTTTCCGGAAAGCACGACAAGTTCTAACGTAAATTTACAAATTCCGGAAAGCTCATAAGTCAAATAAAGTATATTTCAGTGTTCATTTTTTACCTTGATAAGCACATTATTAAATCTGCTTTACCATTCCCCTTGTATCAGATTTGCTAAATCACAAAGATGGTCCTCCATAATCGTGAATCGCTCTTGTCCCAGTCGAACAGGACCACTCCAACGGGTTATGACAGCACCGCCATTGAGTATCTCGTTTGACTGCATATATTGCAGAAGCCGACGTCCCGCACCATGTTCACCGTCGTCCCAGTATCCCTCACACAGTCTCCCACTCGTTTCCCTGAATCTGTAGACCAGAATGCAGTTGTCAGTAGCGGCGGAGTATGCGTCAGTACAGACTTTTTTATAGAGTGTTTCTACTTCTGTCACCGAACATACACTTTTCCCTGTGGCGAATATTTCTGATCCGCGGATCTTAGTTGGTTCCGTACATTCTACCTTAACATCATCCAGAATTTGTACTTCATCGACGGGGATCTGGAGGGCATCAGCAGCCTCAAGTTTGGGAATCGGATCCTGATACTTTTTACCGTCCGGCATCATAACAGCCCCCTTCCCAATCTTAGTTTTAATGTTTTGTTTTCGCAATGAATCTAAAATTGCATACAAACGTTTACGTTCCTCTACTACAGAGGCTGGTTCTTGGGATGTTATAAAGAACGGGAGGTTTACATTTTCACTTTTTTTAGCCTTCTGGGCCCGAAGCAATTCATCTTTTTTAGTACGATCCCTCAGTTTCCCTGTTATTGACACAGGTCTCGAGTTGACAACCCCCCTCACACTGTTTCTATAAAAACGTACAAAGTCAACCTCTACACCTAAAGTTTCCAATAAAACTTCAGGAACACGTTTATTTACGTTTTCACCCTGGGTGTATGCAAAATTGTGTATAAGGATGTTATCCCGCATTGATCTAGAGCGTAAATCAGTAATTTCGGATTCCATGTGATTTATTTTCCTGTTTATTTTGATAAGCATGGCACGTAACAAATCCACTTCTCGTCTTAACTGAGTATTTTCAGATCGAATGAAATACATTTCGTCATAATTACTCTCAGACTGTTCAGCTACATATTTTAGATTAGACGAGCTCGCTTCTACAGTCTCTTGCAAATTCCTAAACGCCTCAATAGATACCTCTTTGTCAATGTTACCTTGATCGCCTGAACACTTTTCGGTCTTTTCTAGGTCACCTGTACTTCCCGTTAGAGGGGCCTTTGTCTTCAAATTCGATGCCATTTTTGGTCCAGATTTGCTGAATTTTCGCATGCAGAAGATATCTTCTTAAAGAATATCCTTCCAAAAACTACCTGGACAAGAATTTTTTTGCAAATCAAAGTCTTATGCCACACTTTTTTAACCAAATTCACGGAGCTGATTTTTTACACGGCCATTGCACTGACCAGTCAGTTAAGGCGTTAAGCTAATGCAGTCCTAATGTTCACATAAAAAAAATTAATATTTTTCTTTTTAATAGAGCAATGTTATAAAAATTTGGAGAAAAAATATGCATACAAGTTTGAAAATAAATTTATTTTGTTATTTTCTCTGTTCTTAAATGAACACATACCTGTACATATAGGTGTATATTTACATTTTGTAAATATTTTTCTATATGGTTTACATGCTAAAACCTTTTTATAATTGGCACCATAATTTTCAAAATCTGTAAGCAAATGTTACTTTTGTTTTTCTTTTTTTATTTATTTCTGTTTCATAATAACGATTTTGTGTTTTGCAGAATATTTTTTTTTCAACTTATACATATATTTTGAAAATGTTTACAATTTTGTTTTTCACTTTAATAAATCAATTATTTTATTAATTTTATTTATCTCCTATGCATACTTTATATATTCATAGGCCAAAAGGATCTGCAAGTTCTACTTTTTATTATATATATTACGTTCTGACTGTGTTTGTAAAAAGGAGCACAAGTTTTTGTTTTTAGAAGGTCACTGATAATAATTCTTCTTTCGTTTCAGAGTTTGAATAAAATTTCAATATGACTTCTAGACTAAACCCTAGCGGTCGTTCTAAGTTTGCAAAACTTGGAATGGCAATAAACGAAGAATTGACCCAGGCCTGTAGAGATGTCTTAGAAATGGAGGTACCTCCTGGTCTTGTCTACAACAAATTAAAGGCATCGTCAATTTATAAGAAAATACGCCCCGAGCAAGAACTTCATCTTATAGGCGCCAAAACTGATGGTTATAAAGAATTTGATATAACGCTTCTATATACTCTGATAAGAAATATATGTTCAAAGATTCCTCATCCAAAAAAAGGTTGGGGTGGAAACACGATGCCGTCCTTGGGAGAAATATCGATAGGCGACGACATTGAAAGGATTAGGATGATAAGAAACAGCATGTTTGGACACATTAGCTCGGCTTCCACCTCACAGACAGAGTTTGATGACACGTGGATAGCAATAACTGATATCTGCCAAAGGCTGCAAACGTACACAAACAAAGACTATATGTCTGGACTGAGTAATATTCAAAGTCAGGCCCTAGAAGAAGAGAACGAAACAACAGTCATAGAAAAACTTAAGGAAGATTATAAGAATAACCAATCTCTGATGGAAAAGATATCTTCATTAGAAGAGGATTTGCAAGAATTCAAATCAAAATTCGTTGAGAAAGGTATTTATTCTAAATACTTCATTTATTTATCATTTACTACGTATAACTGATATTACAAGTCAACATAATTTTAACAAAAGGCATTATAGATATTAATATGTCCAGTAATTATTATGCCTTTTTGAGAAGAAAAGGGATATGGAGATAACGAACAGTATTCAATCTCAAAGTCCATTTAACAATATGCAAAGTAAGAGCAGAGCAAACACGGACCTCCGAAACATCAGAAGTGGGATCAGGTGCCATGGAGGAGTGAGCATCCCCTGCCGACCGGTCACACACAGTCCGTGTGCTCGTTGTCATGATCAGGAAATAAGGGGGAATAAATCCGTCGTCAATTCAGTGTATAAGTAATGGATTAACAATTGATATAAAAAACGTCAGTCAGTTTTTGACTCAATGATAAATTGTATTTGTTGACAAGGTCTTTGTATCGACCATAGAACTTACGAAATGATGACTTTAAACGAGACTGTTGATATTATTGTTTCATAAACTTGATTGTCAATAATTCACTTGTTTAAGAAGTTCTTCATACGTAGAGCATGCTCTTGCGTATCGAATCAACTGAGATATATATACTCCGTATGCAGGTGATGAATAAATTAACTGTTCTTTTTATAATCTAACATTGTTGAGCAAAAAATTTGTAATTTCGATTCATAATATGATACGTAAAGTAAGAATAATATAGAAACTGTGCGCAAACTATAGTGTAAAATGAACATTAAATGGCAAAAAGTTCTGGATGGTCACTACAAAAAAGGTGTACATTTTATATTTTTATTATTTCTTTTATTTCCAAAAAGTATTCAAAACAATTCATTAATTGACCACTTTCAGCAGGCTTAGTATTTCAGACAAAATTAAGTAATGCTACAGGAAAACTCGGTGAAAGCAAATTCAATAGGACCTATGGAATTACTTTGCTGTAACCTTAGTATGTTCTTTCAGCATAAACAATTCACTGGGGATCGAAGATAACTTCGCTTATCCGTGAATTCGCAATATCCGTGTTCGTAATGAGCAAGTTTTAGAGTATTTCGAATTTACATGCACGCGTAGATTCAATAGCTTATTTAATTTTTGTTTTATCAAAGTAGCTAAGAATATATTCTTAGCGTATTGTATCCAATTATAACATCAAAAGAGGAATCTTGAAATTAAATTAAGTATAAAGTAATAACATTCTCAAAAATTTTCTGTAATGATTTTCTTTTAATATATAGATACAACACTAAATGAAGAAGTTTTTGAAAGTTGGTGGGAAGATAATAAGGACTTTGTCTCAACAGCGGCAAGTAAAATTGTAGAAGAAAAGATTACCAGTCAAAACCTGGTCACTGTTGTCGGAAATTCTGGATGCGGGAAAACGGCTATTATCCAAAACATCGCCCTGAAGTTTAAAGAAGAGAAAGGATGGGATATCAAACCTGTCGATGAAGTGAAAGAAATAAAAAACATTTATTCCCGAGGAATTTCACTAAATAATATAACGTTGTTTGTTTTAAATGATCCTATCGGAAAGGAGACCTTAGATGAAGTATCATATAATTTATGGAAAACATATGAGACAACGCTTACAACTTGCTTGAAGAAAATTAAATTGTTAGTGTCTTGTAGAAGATGCGTCATTTATGACGAGAGAACAGGGGGAATTCTCAAAAAAGACTCAAACATTGTTGAAATTGATAGCAAGAAATGGAAATTGTCAGACAAAGAAAAAAGGGAGATTTTAAAAAAAAATACTGTCAACATGTGAATATATCCGATGGGAAAGTCAAGGAAATAATAAAAACGGAAACTTATTTTCCCTTGCTTTGTAAATTGTTCTCGTGTGAAACAAGCGACAAGAGAAATGTTGTAGACTTCTTTCGATACCCCTCAGGATTCATTAAACAAGAAATCGAACATTTTAAAACGTCAGAAAAAAAGAAATATTGTGCCTTACTTTTGATTGTTGTTTTTAACAATCAACTTAATGTCGATACAATCAGAAGAAATAACAGTTCTTTAAAGAAATACAGAGATATTTTAGGAATTTGTGAACTACCAGACAACACAAATGTGTCAGTTATTCGTAGTGCTCTACATGAACTGAGAGGATCTTATGTCAAACGTGTCGGCAATGCTTTCCAATTCCTTCACGACTTTATTATGGAGATAACGACTCTGGTGTTTGGTGTTGATTGTCCACAAGAGACAATACACTACGCAGACAGTGGTTTCCTGAGACGTCGGGTGAGAATAGAAGACGATACAGAAAGGAAAGATCGCGATCCCTTCACTGTTTACCTTCCTGAAGAGTACAATGGTGACCTTGTGGACAGGTTTATTATTGATATCCAAACAGATCACATTGTAGATGTTCTACTCAATCCTTGTTTAAGAAAGCATAGTGTCATTAAAGCTTTTAAGGATAAAGTGGATACAATTGAAAAGCTTCTCGTTAAAATTAAATGTGAAATAGACATTTCAGAATTTCCGAAATTATTAGATAGCAATCGTTATTCTAGACTTACTTTCTTTACTGCAGAAGATGAAAAATGTCCTTTGGTCGGACTTATTCTGTTTTGTCATGATGATATTTGTTCATTTTTCATAAAAAGTGTCCCTGAAACAAAGTTAAAAGAATATCCTATATTCTATGCTATGTGTGCAAATGGCGATTTAAACCTATTAAATTCCCTCAACGAAGAATATAAAAAAAGAGCAATGATGGAAATATGGAATGTTTTTTTTACCAATTCATGTTGCTTCTGTTTTTCATAATATTTCAATACTTGAAGAGTTAGTAAGACTTGGTGTTGACGTAAAAAAGTTAACAACTGATGACATAGGGACCCCTTTATTACTTGCTGCTTCAAATGACGAAGAACATTTGAAAGAGGCTGGGAAGGATATAAAGACTGGAGAACGACGTAATGCAACCATAAATTGCTTAATAAACAATGGCGCCGATATTAATTTATGTAATAAAAATGGATACAGTCCTCTTTTTGCAGCTTGTGAAAATGGACATGATAGCACGGTACAACTGTTACTAAACAACGGTGCCGACATCAATTTATGTGATAATGATGGAAGCAGTCCTCTTTATGTAGCTTGTCAAACTGGCCATGATAGCACGGTACAACTGTTACTAAACAACGGTGCCGACATCAATTTATGTGATAATCATGGAACCAGTCCTCTTTATATAGCTTGTTATGATGGACATGATAGTACGGTACAACTGTTACTGAACAACGGTGCCGACATCAATTTATGTGCTAATGATGGGACCAGTCCTCTTCATATAGCTTGTCAAAATGGACATGATAGCACGGTACAACTGTTACTAAACAACGGTGCCGACATCAATTTATGTGATAATGATGGAGACAGTCCTCTTTGGATAGCTTGTCAAAATGGACATGATAGCACGGTACAACTGTTACTGAACAACGGTGCCGACATCAATTTATGTGATAATGATGGAGCTAGTCCTCTTCATATAGCTTGTGATGATGGACATGATAGCACGGTACAACTGTTACTGAACAACGGTGCCGACATCACTCTATGTGAAAAGAATGGAGTCAGTCCTCTTCATAGAGCTTGTAATAATAGACATGATAGCTCGGTACAACTGTTACTGAACAACGGTGCCGAAATTAATTCTTGTCTGAATGATAGAACCAGTCCTCTTTATATAGCTTGTCAAAATGGACATGATAGCACGGTACAACTGTTACTGAACAACGGTGCCGACATGAATTTATGTGATAATGATGGAACCAGTCCTCTTTGGATAGCTTGTCAAAATGGACATGATAGCACGGTACAACTGTTACTGAACAACGGTGCCGACATCAATTCATGCGATAATGATGGAATCAGTCCTCTTCATATAGCTTGTCAAAATGGACATGATAGTACGGTACAACTTTTACTGAACAACGGTGCCGACATCACTCTATGTGAAAAGAATGGAGTCAGTCCTCTTCATAGAGCTTGTAATAATAGACAAAATAGCTCGGTACAACTGTTACTGAACAACGGTGCCGAAATTAATTCTTGTCTGAATGATAGAACCAGTCCTCTTTATATAGCTTGTCAAAATGGACATGATAGCACGGTACAACTGTTACTGAACAACGGTGCCGACATCAATTTATGTGATAATGATGGAGACAGTCCTCTTTGGATAGCTTGTCAAAATGGACATGATAGCACGGTACAACTGTTACTGAACAACGGTGCCGACATCAATTCATGCGATAATGATGGAATCAGTCCTCTTTATATAGCTTGTCAAAATGGACATGATAGCACGGTACAACTACTACTGAACAATTTTTTTTGAATTTAATCATTGCGTTTCTAATAGGAATATCTAATGAAACAATATTGTTAAATTTTATCTCGTGAAATATAAAATATATAGATTAATTTGAAATATATTTATATGTATTTAGTCTGAAAAACTTGTTATATGTGTACAATTGAATAATGTGAAGTAGATTTATTTAGTTAGAAAATGTGTTATATGTATACACTAAAAATTTTAATAATGCTCCTGTGAATTTCAATTTTCCTGTGAATTACTTTCTCTTAATATGTTATAGATATGTATTTGCTTTGACATATCCTTACATATAATGGCTTTAAATATAAAATGTAAGATCAATCTACTATCTACATGTACTAAACCTATATCATGTGAATCACGAGTCCATTGTTCAATGGCTCAAATTATAGGGAGTAGCGGAGTACAAATAATGATCTCGGTGTATATCAACATTGTATAATATCAATTGCTGTTTTGTACTTTATATTTCAAAACAAATATAAAACATTTCTATTTTAACATATGGAATTTAAAAAAATGCCATTTATGTTTTATATTAGTTCAGAAAACCAAGAATGACGTTTATGGTTTTATGCCTATATCTATGGCAGTAACTAAATGAAGCAATATTTTTTTATTGTACTTGAAAATGTATTGTGGTTGTCAGATTTCAATTTTAGAAGGACTTTCAAGAGCGCAGGGGCGTGAATATTGTTGTAAAATTTAACAAAAGACAGTTTATATTGCTGCTGTAAATGTACATGTTTTCAGTTTGATTTAATTTTATTTTTTTGTATAATAAACAAAAGGTAGTACCCCCTAGAATTTGTTTGAATTGGGACAGTGGTAAAGGATGTTATGTTCTGACCAGCTGAAGATATAAATAACTATCAAAGCGATCATGTAATATAATGAGATAGCAAACAGTACGAAAGCTCAAAGTCCATGAAACAATATACAAAATAAAAACAGAGCACACAACGACCTGTAAAACAATACAAAATAAAAACAGAGCAAACATCGACCTGTAAAACAATACAAAATAAAAACAGAGCAAACATCGACCTGTAAAACAATACAAAATAAAAACAGAGCAAACATCGACCTGTAAAACAATACAAAATAAAAACAGAGTAAACATCGACCTGTAAAACAATACAAAATAAAAACAGAGCAAACATCGACCTGTAAAACAATACAGAGCAAACATGGACCTGTAAAACAATACAAAATAAAAACAGAGCAAACATCGACCTGTAAAACAATACAAAATAAAAACAGAGCAAACATCGACCTGTAAAACAATACAAAATAAAAACAGAGCAAACATCGACCTGTAAAACAATACAAAATAAAAACAGAGCAAACATGGACCTGTAAAACAATACAAAATAAAAACAGAGCAAACATCGACCTGTAAAACAATACAAAATAAAAACAGAGCAAACATCGACTTGTAAAACAATACAAAATAAAAACAGAGCAAACATCGACTTGTAAAACAATACAAGTTAAAAACAGAGCAAACATCGACCTGTAAAACAATACAAGAAAAAAACCTGTAAAACAATACAAAATAAAAACAGAGCAAACACGGACGTGTAAAACAATACAAAATAAAAACAGAGCAAACATCGACCTGTAAAACAATACAAAATAAAAACAGAGCAAACATCGACCTGTAAAACAATACAAAATAAAAACAGAGCAAACATCGACCTGTAAAACAATACAAAATAAAAACAGAGCAAACATCAACCTGTAAAACAATACAAAACTAGTGCTAATTGTAACGGGGACCGTTACAGATGTTCCCCAAACGCTCCCCAACTCCCTTTTGGTGCCATATCCCCTGTAAACCTCATGAAATAAGACAAACTCTATGCATTTGAGACTTTAACAACGTTTACCCAGAATTGTACCAAGTTCATTTAAAATATAGCATTGCACGCCCGCGCTTCTGTATGCATCTGCGTAATAACCATATCATCTTGTCTACACAATCTATATAGTTTAATATATACTAAATATTGAAGTATTTAATCCAAAAGTATTAAGAAATACGCTCATTCAAGTGTATATTTGTTATTACTCATTTCACGTGCACGCACGTGCATACATGAGCATGGTGACCATACCTTCTTGTAGAAGTCCATTACATCTATCTATGTTCTACTAGTATATCCCACCCCGTTTGGTTGAAAACCAAGGGAGTTATAGCTGTTTAAAGTTTCAGCCAATCAGATTGCAGCACACATGCATGCACGTGTTTTCATTATAAGTGCTATATATCAAGTTGTAGGATATCCTAATGTATGCCTATGTTTTAAATTTCAAAGGATTTCGTCAAAAAACAAGAAAGATATTGAAACTTTAGTTTCAGCCAATCAGAGCAAAGCGCACGTGCATGCGCGTGAAATCTTGCTTTTTTGACCATGTCATCTTGTCTATGCTTCTAATATATATTTATGATATGAGTTTCAAAGCATTTCATCAATAATTTAAATAGTTACGTCTGTATCAATTATGTTGGACATTTCTCATGTTGCACGTGCGAGCTCTTGCAAGCACATGTGCATGCACATGCTTTCATGAAAACTCCTGTATTACAAGCTGTAGATCTCCCTAATGTATGACTATGTTCAAAATTTCAAATGATTTTATCAAAAAACAAGAAAGATATGGAGACTTTAGTTTCAGCCAATCAGAGCAAAGCGCACGTGCATGCGCGTGCGATCCTGCTATTTTGACCATGTCATCTTGTGCATATTTCTAATATATCCTTACATTATGAGTTTCAAAACATTTTGTCAAAAAATAAAAAAGTTACGGTTTTATCCATTATATATTGGTCATTTCATGTTTTGCACGTGCGCGCTCTTGCAAGCACGTGCGCGCAAAATGATCTTGATTCCGCAAATCTACAACACATGTCTACTGACCCTAAAAACATTTCACCTAAATCGGATGTGTAGTTTACAAGATCATTCGCGGACAAAATTTTCCCGAGAAGAAAAATAATAATAATAATAATAATAATAATAAGAAACAGAGTAAAAACAATATGTTCCCCAACTTCGTTTGGGAAACATAATAAAAACAGAGCAAACATCGACCTGTAAATCAATACAAAATAAAAACAGAGCAAACATCGACCTGTAAAACAATACAGAGCAAACATGGACCTGTGAAACAATACAAAATAAAACCAGAGCAAACATCGACCTGTAAAAGAATACAAAATAAAAACAGAGTAAACATCGACCTGTAAAACAATACAAAATAAAAACAGAGCAAACATCGACCTGTAAAACAATACAAAATAAAAACAGAGCAAACATCGACCTGTAAAACAATACAAAATAAAAACAGAGCAAACATCGACCTGTAAAACAATACAAAATAAAAACAGAGTAAACATCGACCTGTAAAACAATACAAAATAAAAACAGAGCAAACATCGACCTGTAAAACAATACAAAATAAAAACAGAGCAAACATCGACCTGTAAAACAATACAAAATAAAAACAGAGCAAACATCGACCTGTAAAACAATACAAAATAAAAACAGAGCAAACATCGACCTGTAAAACAATATAAAATAAAAACAGAGCAAACATCGACCTGTAAAACAATACAGAGCAAACATGGACCTGTAAAACAATACAAAATAAAAACAGAGCAAACATCGACCTGTAAAAGAATACAAAATAAAAACAGAGCAAACATCGAGCTGTAAAACATCAGGGGTGGAATCAGGTACCAAAGAGGATTAAGCATCCCTGACGGACTGATCACTGGAAAGGGACGACATGTTTGGACAAGAATGTTGATAACTATTCAAGTGATCAGGTAATATAAGGAGATAACGAACAATACTACAGCTCAACAGAATTGACATGTAATATAAGGAGATAACAATACTACAGCTCAACAGAATTGACATGTAATATAAGGAGATAACACTACTACAACTCAACAGAATTGACATGTGATATAAGGAGATAACAATACTACAGCTCAACAGAATTGACATGTAATATAAGGAGATAACGAACAATACTACAGCTCAACAGAATTGACATGTAATATAAGGAGATAACAATACTACAGCTCAACAGAATTGACATGTAATATAAGGAGATAACAATACTACAGCTCAACAGAATTGACATGTGATATAAGGAGATAACAATACTACAGAGCAACAGAATTGACATGTAATATAAGGAGATAACAATACTACAGCTCAACAGAATTGACATGTGATATAAGGAGATAACAATACTACAGCTCAACAGAATTGACATGTAATATAAGGAGATAACGAACAATACTACAGCTCAACAGAATTGACATGTAATATAAGGAGATAACAATACTACAGCTCAACAGAATTGACATGTAATATAAGGAGATAACAATACTACAGCTCAACAGAATTGACATGTAATATAAGGAGATAACAATACTACAGCTCAACAGAATTGACATGTAATATAAGGAGAAAACAATACTACAGCTCAACAGAATTGACATGTAATATAAGGAGATAACAATACTACAGCTCAACAGAATTGACATGTAATATAAGGAGATATGAACAATACTACAGCTCAACAGAATTGACATGTGATATAAGGAGATAACAATACTACAGCTCAACAGAATTGACATGTAATATAAAGAGATAACAATACTACAGCTCAACAGAATTGACATGTAATATAAGGAGATAACGAACAATACTACAGCTCAACAGAATTGACATGTAATATAAGGAGATAACAAACAATACTACAGCTCAACAGAAATGACATGTAATATAAGGAGATAACAATACTACAGCTCAACAGAATTGACATGTAATATAAGGAGATAACGAACAATACTACAGCTCAACAGAAATGACATGTAATATAAGGAGATAACAATACTACAGCTCAACAGAATTGACATGTAATATAAGGAGATAACAATACTACAGCTCAACAGAAATGACATGCAATATAAG